TGGAAGCAAACGGAGACCCACAGGAGTCAGGGGAGCAGCGTCTTCCGACTCCGGGGTCTCCTGCCCTCTGCCTGAAAGGAAGAAAGGGCAGCTGGAAAACAGCCAAGGAATGTCAGCGGGTACCCCACCGGCAAAGGGGAAAGGGCGCAGTGGGACGTGAAAGAGGGATGCTGAGGGCGAGGACGGGGGAAGTAGGAGTTTGAAAGCCGCTAGAACAATGGATGAAAACTCTGAGCCGGGTCCAGCTTCTGGGTTCTGTCCCGAGGATTAACTGTGAGAGCCTGCATTTGTCCCAAGGAGGAGGACGTGAAGAAGTGTGTGAGGAAGGCTGTAGGAGAGTGACCCGCCGAGGTTGCTAAAACGTGAGGGGAGGAGAAGAGTGATGGAGTGAGGAAAGGCCCTCTAGAAAGATGTAGATGCAGCTCCGTGCCCTCAGAGCCCCAGAAAGAAAAGAGCATATGATGCTTGCTGGTTTTCCATCAAAAAGACAAACTGGCATGTAAATAAAAGCCTATGGGGGACTTCCCTGGTAGTCCAGTGGTTAAGACTTCGCGTTTCCAATACAGGGGGCCCAGGTTCAATCCCTGGTCAGGGAACTAAGATCCCACATGTTGCACGGCGCGGCCAAAAAAACAACCAACCAACAACAAACAAACAAAAAACAGCCTATGTACACATTCAGGAACCACGAATTCATTCTCTCTTCTTGCTTAGTACCAATCAGACCCTCACTGCGTTCTGTTCATTACATCTCCCCTGAGGGCGATGGACCACAAGGAAGCCGGGTGCCCTTGAACCTGCCCTCTGAGCCTCAACTGTCTGATCTGCCAAAGAGGAAAACAATGCCTAGCCTTCCCACTGCATGTCGTTGTTGAAGGATAACAGCATTGATAATAATACCAACCTCTGGGTCGTACTCACATATGGCTGCCTATCACACTGTGTACATAGTGTCACATATTACATAACATTGTACCTACACTACCTCATCTAACCCTCAAAACAGCCCTGTGAGACTGGCCCCATTATGCCCCCATTTTACAGAGAGGGAAACTGAGGCACAGAAGGTTTCAGAACTTGGTCTACATCACCCAGCAGGTGAGTGGCAGAGGTGGGATTTGAACCCAGACGATCTGGCTCCAGAGTCCAGGCTCCCAACCTCTGTTACACGACACTACGTCTGAAAGGACTGAGCGTGTTCCAGATGCTTTTGTAAATGAATGGCGCCATTCTCATTCCTGTTAGGACCACTCCCATGGGAGAGGATGGATTCCCCGGTGGAGGTGGCACCGCAGCCTCAGATCCACAACGTCGCCGGCCGGTGCCAGCCTCCGGGAAGAGAAAGAAGGCATGGTCCCGGCCCCTCCTGGCCACGAGACTGTCTTCCTTTTTTTTTTTTTTTTTCCAAAGCACAATGTCTCTGCTGCCAAGAGCGGGTTTGTCTGTCTCCTGGAAACCGCGGTTGTCAAGTCCTCAAAGCAAGAGCAAGCGTGTCAAAAATAGCAGAGCCGCAGACGGCGCGGCTGCAGCTCCTTTGACATGCCAGTTTCACTCTCGCCAAAGAGCCGGGGTCTGTCTGCGTTCCCTGCACCTGTGACAGAGGCTGCTTAAGGCTCCGGGGTTTTTCTAGGGCCGGGCAAAGAGTGTCCGCCAGGCGCGGGACAGACTAAAGGAAAAGCCCCTCCACAGTAACAAGGGTGAGGTCGGAGGTGTGCTCAAAAAGAAGAAAGAATTGTCACAGATAAACCATAATGGAAAAGAATATGAAAAAGAATATATATGTATAACTGGCTCTGCTGTGCAGCAGAAATTGACACAACATGGTAAAGCAACTCTACTTCAATAAAATCCATTAAAAAAAAATCGTCATAAACCCCATCAGGGCTAGGCCCCCAATAGGTTAGGTGACAGCCAAGGTGCGACCAGTCTTGATGGCACTGACTATGATGTCTGCCTCTTTTTTCTCTCTTGTTCTGGGAACGAGCAGTCACTTGTTTTGGGTAACGTTTCCCAAGTGCTCACTGAGAGGTTTCCACTCCTTCCTTAGGGAAGCAAGGGGATGAGGACCAAAGATAACTAACGAGGACCTGCTGTACAGCACGGGGCACTCTACTCAGTACTCTGCAATGGCCTATATGGGAAAAGGATCTAAAAAAGAGTGGATCTATGTCTATGTATAACTGATTCACTTCGCTGTACACCTGAAACTAACACAACACTGTAAATCAACTAGACTCCAATAAAAATTTTTTAAAATATATGGGACCAAGGGGTGGTATGAATGCCTTTCTCTAGGAGTTCAGAGCAAAAGGAAGGGAAAGAAATGACCCTCTCCAACCCCACAAGGATCTCCAGCCCAGAACAGGAAAGCGGTTCATCGGGGAGACATGGTAACACGAGAACTAAGAGCCCATCTGTCCTCATCCCCAGTGGTCTGCATCCAGAGGTTCCCTTTCCCGAAAAGCCCTAGCTCCAGTCTTATTGTGGTCCAAGAGAGCCACGCACCCCGGGAAGCCCGGAGTCAAGTGGCATGGAGAGAGGAAATCTTTTGGTTTAAAGAATGGATTTCTTTTCCTTCCCTAAGTGACCTTGACAAGCTAGAATTAGACCAAACTTTGCTTCCCGGGGCAATAACGCACAGTCAAAGCCAATCAGAGCTGGCCCGGAGGTCCCAGCCAGATTGTCCCGGGAGGACGGTGTTCTCTGGAAATGTATCTTGGCATTTATGGAGAGATGCCGAGGGACAAAACACTGCCAAAAGCGAGGGCTCAGCCAGGGGAGAGAAGGCATGATAAACAGCAGGACTGGAAGGTGTCATGTGAGGAAAAGCAGGGCAGGGGTCGGGGGTCGTGGTGAAGGAAGGGATTAGCGAGCGGAAGGCAAGTAGGAGCAAAAGAGGAATGACAGGGACTTCCCGGGTGGGCCAGTGGCTAAGACTCCGCGCTCCCAACGCAGGGGGCCCGGGTTCGATCCCCGGTCAGTGAACTAGATCCCACATGCTGCAACTAAGACCTGGCTCAGCCAAATAAATAAATAAATACTTTTTTAAAAAAAAGAGAGAGAGCGAGGAATGACATCCGATGAGCGCTCTTGGAGGAAGACGAGCTAAGGGAAGACTCTCACCCCTACTTCTTCTGTTTCCTGGAAGCACCACAGCCTGCGGGGCCCCGTCAGCGGCTGGAGGATGGGGACCCGGCCAGGAGAAAAACACCTTGACTCCTGTGTAATTTCTTAGGGAATTCTGAGTTTCCAGGTACAGAGGTAAGGTGGAGGTTTCTGCATTTGGTTCAGTACATGCTAACCAGGCTCTGTACGGACCAGGAATGGCTTGGCCTGTCTTCAGAGCCAAAAGAAAGGGGCATGCCAGTCCCACAAAGGTTTCATTGTCAAAATTCAGAACAAAAGAAAACAAACAGTTCTTGGCACTGGAAGGGAGGAGCAGGCAGCAACTGTATGAAAGTTCTAAAGTGTCCCCGTGTGGCAGAGAAAAAGAACTGTCATTCCATCCTGAATACGCAGTCTGGTCCATCTTTAGAGAGGCTTAACCTCTATATTTATAAAACCAAAGCATCTCCCAGACAAGAGGTGAAACTCTGAGGTTATTAGTCTCACGTCACTTTTTTTTTTTTTAACAATTCAGTGACTTTTTGGGGCTGCCTTATAGAGCTGTACAACTGTCACCACAATCCTCTTTTAGAAAATGTCCCTTACCCTCCAAAAGCCGCCTGATATCCTGATGCAGGTGGGACTCAGCCTACACGACCTCCAGCAAGGAGATGCACAAACTTCCCTCTGGACCGGTTGGTGAACCTTAACCCATCATGCCAAGGAGTGTCCCCCGCACCTCGCACCACTGACATTTATGTCCTTTGCTTTTCTTCTGCCTTCAGGGGACAAGAGAGACAGCTCTGAGACCCTTCGAGTGAATTAAGGGCAGTCAGAAGGTCGCCCTTGAATGAAGACTTTTTCTAGTCTAATTCCACGCTATGCCTTCCTCCTAAGCCCTCTTTTCTGTGTTTATTTCACTGTTTCCACTGTGCCATTGTCTTGAACCTTTCTGTAAGCTCCTTAAGGTTGTGGACCCTGAGGTGAGCATAGTCCTGTGCTACACAATCAAAGTATTTCTCTGAAATGTACTGCTACCAGGTTCCTTTTCTCTCTCTCTCCTTCTCTATTTTATCCTTGCAGATTCAAGAAATTTTGTCCGAGACATCTTCTAAACCCACAGCAATCTCACCTTGCTCCAGAAGCTCGGGACTCTGCCCACAGAGGTGAGTACCCTAGGAAAGGATGCTGTACCAAGATGACAGGAAAAAGGGGGTCCTCCAGCTGGATAACAACCTTCTGAGCAAACACCCTAGGTCACAGCCGTCCTAGAGTCCAAAGAGCAACCTCAAGGGAAATGCCCCAAGGTGCTCCCAGCCCCTGAGAATGTAAGAGAGAGACAGAGAGAAAGATACACAGAGGAGGAAGAAGAAGTTCAAACAGCAGATGGGGGAAAATCAGAGATGTGAGAACGAAACACAAGGCAGAGGAAGTGACACTGAATAGAAGAAGGAAGGGGAAAGTATAGAGAAAAGGGGGTGATTAGAAGGGGATGAGGGGGTACTTTCCTGGTGGTCCAGTGGGTAAGACTCTATGCTTCCAGGGCAGGAGGCCTGGGTTCAATTCCTGGTCGGGGAACTAGATCCCACACGCGTGCCGCAACAAAGACCCGGCGCAGCCAAAATAAACACAAAAATTATATATATATATATATATATATATATATATATATATATGAAGGGGATGAAGGAGGGAGGTACCAGCGTGGGAACAGAAACAGAGAAGGAGAGTAAAGTAGATGCAGATAAAAACACACAGAGAGCGAGGTGGCCGCTGAGGAAAGGAAACCAAAGCCTCCACCCTCCCCCAGACACACTCTCTCCTGCCCTCTCTCTGGCCCTTCCCACCCCTGTTCTCACTTGACCTGAAGGATATTCCCCAACAGGAGAACCTACCTCGGGTGCAAAGACGGCCAGCTGTCCCCTTCTCTCCTGGGGCTGATCTGGCAGGAGGCACCTCCCACGTCTCAGCCGAGCTTCACAGATCCAGGAAGACCTCTGGGCGCTCCTGTGGGCCCGAGTCAGGCGTAACGATGACCTGAACCCCTCTGCTGGCAGCTGCGAAATCGCCACCCCAGCTGTCACAGCAACACCGGGCGCAGATTGTCGCGGCGCTCAGGGAGCAAAATCCACGTCAAGAGGCTCAGAGTCAGAGGGGGTCACTTGGCAGAATCCTTCACAGGAACTAGGTCAGGTCACAGCCTCTCAGTTTTTCTTCGACATCTTAAGATGAACCACCTATGAGATTCCTCCCAAGAGCTAGACTGTTCCTTGGGAAGCAGAAGCATCATTTCTCTGTCTCTCTCAGCGCTGGGAGGAGCCTCTCTCTGAGGACGTGAGTGCCCCGCAGTGCTATTATGGACTAAAACTAGTATGACCCTTGGCGAGGCCCAGCTTGACTACCTCAGGAGAAGCTAGTCCCCTCCAAGGCCATTTCAAAAACAATAATATGGACATTGCTTTAACCGGCAGTTGCTTGGCATTCAAGTTTCTGAAGACTCAGGGGTGGGATGAGGCAGCTTCAGTGACTGGGTGGGGAAGCCAGGAAGAAAGGTCCAGATAGGAAACTTTGGGGACCTGCTTCCCCTTCATTTTCCGAAGGTCACGCATCCCTGTCCTAGCCCTACCAGCCCCTAAAGCCATATGTGAGAGGCGTCCCCCTTTCAGAAGCTGGGAATACGTAGTCTCCTGTTCTCCCTGGCTGCCCAAATCAGAAGATAGAGAGCACAGTCTGGAAGGTTGCTACGGCAACCAGAGTCCCTGGAGAGCCCAGCTCTCCATAAACCCTTTACTTTCGGGCATGCTCTGACTTGAAAAGGAAATGGTGATGAGGATGACACATACATACATACAGAGACACACGCATACGTGTTCCAACATTACCCTCGCTGGGAGCATCGCTTTTGCCTCTGCGTGGGCCTTCTCTTTCCCCCAAATTGCCAGGAGTAATATTCCAGAAGACATTTGGAAACCTGGCATTTTATGGCCTCAGAGCAAGTGTCTGAATCATGAGCATCTCCTACTGCATTTCAGGTTTGGAGAAGCCAAACTCCCAATCAAGATGATGGTGTCTGGCCCTAAAAGGATCCCACTGGATCGCTCCAAAAAGAGCATCCTCCTTGCCAAAAGGTAAGAAGAAAGACCAAGGCCCGGTTCGAGAGGCTAGGGAGGGATTTAAAGAGCTAATGGCCCAGAATGGTCTGTGCATGGGCTCTGGATCCAAGGCAGGAACTCTTAGGGGAGGCCTTGCCTATGGGGGATGGGGAAACGTGGTAATGAACTAGAAACCATTACGGAAGTTCACACATTTGCATAGCATCATCCCCAGCCTCCCAGAGGAGTTCACGGGCCATTCCCCATGAGGTGGGGGTGGGGGGAAAGACATGAATGTTCCCATTGAATGGGTGGGGAGACTGAGGCACAAAGAGGGACTGTGGCACCCAAGTTACCCTGTAAAGTGTGGCAACATCCGGACAGTGTCTCTCAAGAAAACCCTCAAGAGGCTGTCCCTCATAAGTTTGCTCTTTGAGAAAAGATTTTTTTAAAAATTCTTATCAAGGAGCCTTAAAGCCTAGTTTATAAAATTAAAAACTCATTAACAGTCCTTCCGGTTTCTGAACTGTACCCAGGAGAGCTCAGAACAGTGCATCACAGTTGATCAAGGCAACAAATGAATGACAGTGTGATGAGGGGACAGAAACAGGGGTTCACAACTGAAGAAGATGACTTGGTCTAAGTGGCACCTTACCAGTGAGAGCTGTGGGCTGCAGCTCCAGGGCCAGAGCAGGAGAATGTTTGCTCGACTCAGCAAAAACCTCTAACAGTGAGGCTGTCAGCAAAGGAATAATGCTTCTTCCTTACTCTAAACCACCTGTCTCATTGCCCACGAAATGGAAAAAAAACAAAAAAAAAAGCCCACGCTAGCATCCAATATGTGCTTCTACCTGTCCATGGGTTTAGGCTGGAGTCTGCTTTAGAAAGCCTTCAACAGCAATCCTAAGTCAGACTCCCAGGAAGAAGGGTGGAGGACTAGAGAGGGTCGGGGGAAGTGAGGGAGAGAAATTTGCTATCTGCAGAAGACTCCTCTGCTCCCGTAGATGGCACTGTCTCCGTGGCACCTCCCTTCTGATAAGCGGTCAAGCCAGGTGCTTGATTATATTCAGCCATTTCTCCCAGCTCTGTGGGTTCCCCTTTGCCAGTTCCTCTGCACAGGAAGAGTATTTGGCTCTGAGAAGGAGCCTTCCTGGAAGCTCGAGAGAGTCAGGGGATCAGAGTGGGGAGAACGAAGTGCACACTGATGTGTCTACCGTGCCAGATGGCACCTGGAAGAATCCATTGGCCCCTTTGGTCCAGGACTGACTCTCATATCCTCCAAACGGCCAAGTGTAATTGTAGTTTCTCTAATTCCAACCAAGATTAGAGATGTATAGCATATTATCAGGCTGGGCAGCTGTAGGCTCTCCCAGGGGTCCTCTTCAGGATGACCAGCCGGTGTTACAGGGCGCTGGAGTAAAACAAAGGAGGAGTACTGTTTCTGTCCACCCGTTTCTGCCAGTTACCATGTGGCCAGAAGCTAAGACAGGTGCATGCCCCAAAGCCACAGATGCTAAGGAGAAAAAGGACCCCGGTGTGCCTGGTTTCCATCTTGTCAACATCACTCTTTCTAGAGATATTACAAGTCCCAGACATGAAAAATCAGAGTCTTGAGGGACGAAGGTCAGATGGAAATCTCATCCATGTGACAGAAGATGGGCACGAATGGGTGGCACCGTTAGAGTTTGGAAAATGTCACTTAGATGGAGAAACCTTGGCTGCTGCAGGGGTCAAGTAACAAGACTGAGAGTCCAGGTGTGTGGTCCTGGCGCCAGCCACTGGGTGTGGGGGCGGGGGGGTCAGGAAGTCACCTGGAGCTGGGGTGCGAGTAGTGGAGAATGACAAGGAGCCCTAAGGGATTGTTTGTTCAGTGTCCTTCCTTCCATGCAGGCCCGGCCTGCATCCGTCAAACTTCGGTGAGCATCCTTTTCTCTGCATATGCCCGATGTGGAGTGGGAAAGTAGCTGGGTCTCCGCTCCCGGGTGGCCTCCGAGAATTCAGGCTTGCCAAGTCCGTTGTCAGCTGCCTTCAGGTCTGGGGCAGGCTGCCCACAAGTGACGTGGGTGTACTGGCCTTGTTCTTCCTGCTCGGTCTCCCGGTGGTAGAAGTAGTTGAAGTTGGAGACGATGACGGGCACGGGCAGAGCGATGGTGAGGACCCCGGCGATGGCACACAGCGAGCCCACAATCTTGCCCCCCACCGTCATGGGGTACATGTCCCCGTAACCTACTGTGGTCATGGTAACCACTGCCCACCAGAAGGCATCCGGGATGCTGGGAAAGAGCGAATCATCGTCGTCGGCCTCTGCGAAGTAGACGGCGCTGGAGAAGAGGATGACTCCGATGAACAGGAAGAAGATGAGCAGACCCAGCTCCCGCATGGACGCCTGCAGGGTCTTGCCCAGGATCTGCAGCCCCTTGGAGTGGCGGGACAGCTTGAAGATGCGGAACACCCGGACCAGGCGGATCACTCTGAGGATGGCCAGGGACATGGCCTGCTGCCCGTTCTGGCCGCCGCCTCCACTGGCGGACTGCTGTCCCTGCTGCTGCACCAGCTCGGTGCCCAGGGTGATGAAGTAGGGGAAGATGGCCACCAAGTCGATGATGTTCATGATGTTGCGGAAGAAGGCTGGCTTGCTGGGGCAGGCGGAGAAGCGCACCAGCAGCTCGAAGGTGAACCAGACAATGCACAGCGTCTCCACCAGAAAAAAGGGGTCGGTGAAGAAGGAGCCCCCAAGGGTACTTAGCGGGGATGAGCCCCCTGCCACCATTCCCCCCGCGGTGATGCCAGGATGAAATGTATAGGAATCGTCTTCATCCTCCTCTTCCTCCTGGCTGCCCCTGGACACCGGGGAGACACCACCACCATTGCTTCCACCTCGACCATCTGCGCGGAACTGCGGCAGCGTCTCCAGGCAAAAGATGACAATGGAGATGAGGATGACCAGAACGGAGACGATGGCGATGCCCCGGGCGGGCCCCGAGCTCTCCGGGTACTCGAAGAGCAGCCACACCTGGCGCTGGAAGGGCTGGGAGGGCAGTGGCTTCTCGTCCACGCCACCCTCGGGCAGGCAGCCCTCGTCCTCGCGGAAGGCAGCCAGGGCCTCGTCCCCGAGCTGGTAGAAGCGGATCTCCTCCAGGAAGATGTCCAGCGGCACGTTGACCGGCCTCCGCAGCCGGCCCCCCGACTGGTAGTAGTAGAGGATGGCGTCGAAGCTGGGCCGGTTGCGGTCGAAGAAGTACTCGTTCCTCAGCGGGTCGAAGAAGCGGACGCGGCGGCCGGGGTCCCCCAGGAGCGTGTCGGGGAACAGCGACAGGGTGCGCAGCTGCGTCTCGAAGCGCAGCCCGGAGATGTTGATGACCAGCCGCTCGCTACTACAGCAGCCGCCGCCGCCGCCGCCGGCCTCCGGGAAGTCTCCGGCATCCTGTTGCTCCCCCTCCGGCCCACGGACCTCCCCCGGCGCCGCCAACGTAAGGGATTTCTCCGATCGCATGTCCCCTCCGCGGTGCGCTCCCCGCCACTAGGACGGCGCCCACGACACGACCTCCCGGGCGCGCCGCCGCCTCCCAGCTCTCGGCGGCGCCTTCTTTTCGGGGTGGGGCTCGCGGTACGACCGACGTCGGGTCCCTAAGCCCCGAAGCCCTGGTCTTCGCCGGGCTAGGTCTGGGGAGGTGACCTGGGCGCGGAGGGTTCGGCTCCGCGCCCCTAGTTATCCGCGCCCGATGCTAGATACAGCTTGTGGTACCTGGAACCGCAGCCTGGCGCGTGTGCAGCTGGACGCCAGGAAAGAAGCGTGGCTTCGCGCCCCCGCCCTCCCCAGACTGGGCTCCGGGACGCGGGGGTCCGCCCTCCAGACCGGTCAGCACGTCCCAGCTCCCGCGGCGCTCCTCCAGCAGCTCCAGACCCCCGGCCGCCGCTGGGACCCGAGCGCCAGATGCGCCTCCCTCCGGCTCGGCCAAGACGCCTGGCGGGGCTCGGCCTCCGCCCTACGGCCACTGCGGGCTCCACTGGCCAAGGTCGCCGTTCCCGCCGCCGCGGCCGCCACCGCCTCCCTCCGAACCGCGCCGCTGGCCTGCGAGAGGGCCCTGGGGCCGCCCCGGCGCCGGGGCGCGCGGACCCACCTCCCCAGCCCTTGTGCCTTCGCTGCAGCCGCCGCAGCTGCAGCGGCTCGGCTCTCCGCTCTGCCCTTCCTTCCCAACACACTCTCTCCAAGTGACGTGGCAGGCCCCGCCTGCTGCCCCCTCCCACCCCACTCGCGCATCACACCCCTTGCCCGGCCAGGGGCCGCGCGAGCCAGGGCGCGGCGAGCGGACGCACCCTCACCTCTCCAGTAATCTTTCCCGCGCTCTCCTGGCACGCCTCTCCCTCCCGCACGTCCACATCCACGGCCCTCTAAACAGGCGCAGGTACCCTAATGCCACACACCCCCGCCCCGGCAAGTCGCTCTTCTCTTTTCGGTTTAGGGAGCTGACCTGCGCAGTGCATCTCATCAATAAGAAAACACCCCTCACCGCCCCCCGCCCCCCGCCCCATGGCACAGAGTTCTGTGCCTCCACTCACCCAGAAATTTAATGAAAGAAATCAAATTATATTTTGTCCTTCTGTATTTACGAAGACCTATTTGCCAGCTTCTCCAATCTCTACTTAAAAAAAAAAAAAATTGAGGAAGCATGTTTTGATGTCTTGAGAGCTTCCAATTTAAATTGTACTCCAATGTCAGTCCCCAGAGAATCCCATACCTCCCTTTGCAAACCCGGGAGGGCGAGGCCGCCATTCTCCCAGGATTGCAAAGTGATAGCAGGGAAAAGGGTAGGAAGTCGCTGGTTGCCTTTTCCAACAGAAGTTTTCCAAGGGAGTCCTGGGAGTTTGGGCAGCAGCCCCAGTGAAGAAAGAACCAGAAGATGGTGGCATCTCAGAGGTAGCATAGCCCAGGGAAGTACATCCTGGAATTCATAAGCTCCCAGCCTCCCTGGGAAGGAATCCGGAGTGAATGAGAAAAGGGAGGGGGAAGGGGGGAGTGGAAAGGGCATGTTGATTAAGCTAACAGCTGCACTTCCTGAGCATTTAATATGTACCGGCCACCTTCCAGGTGCTTCACCTGCACCACCTCACTCCCTCTTCACAATCCTATGGGAAAGATGGCCTCTGCTCCTCAGTAATGTTACAGCGAAGACCCACCTGGCAGTATTTGGGTAGGGACCCAAGTTCGTTGTAGAGACTCTTCCCCTAACTCTCCAGGAGGGAGAAGGTAAGAATGGTTTTCCATCCATTTCTACCAGAGGCCCTATCGTCTTCCATCACTGGATCACACAGGTTGGGGTCTGCTGGGGGAGCTTTGGTCTGACCTTTTCACACTGCCACTGCCAGGTAGGGTTGACGTTTGCTTCTCTGTGCTTCATTTTCCCCCTTTCGGAGTGGCTGTGGACAAAATAGGTTGCTGACAACCAGAAGGCGTTTGTATGTAGCTTCTTGTGCTCTTAGATCATTGGTAAGAGTTCATGGATGATACCGATGGAAATGATACATAAAGGTACTCTCAAACCGCAAGATTCATGTGAGAGCTCTTTGTATTGCATGGAGTGTTTTAAAGCCACAGTGATTCACCCCCAGCGCGGTGGGGGCGGGGCGGGGGGAGATGGGGAGGAGGGAACTAAGTGTCCTGGATGTTTAGGGCAGAGGTCAAGTGGTGAGTGGGTAGGAGACAGGCTGCCACATCACCGCTTCATTCTCCAGCCTGGTCCCTCACCAGGCCTGCAGGGCAATCGTTCTTCCGCTTCTTTTCTTTGCTTATCCTGTCCATTTCCACTCCCTCCTCTCAGCTTGCATGTTTCAGTGAATGGCGAGAGAGCAAGTGTACCCAGTCTCTCAGTCAATATTTTTCCTATTCACAGGCTCTGTAATTAATCAATTTAAACTTTGCACTATTAAGTTGCTCCATTAAAAAAAAAAAAGAGGGGGCTTCCCTGGTGGCGCAGTGGTTGAGAGTCCGCCTGCCGATGCAGGGGACACGGGTTCGTGCCCCGGTCCGGGAAGATCCCACATGCCGCGGAGCGGCTGGGCCCGTGAGCCATGGCCGCTGAGCCTGCGCGTCCGGAGCCTGTGCTCCGCAACGGGAGAGGCCACAACAGTGAGAGGCCCGCATACCACAAAAAAAAAAAAAAAAAAAAAAAAGAGGTATTTTAAGGAAAGAAAGGGAACCTACATATAAGCTGTGTTATATAAGTATATCATATATTATATGATATACTTATATCATATAACATAAGTATTATATAACATAGAAGATACTCTTTTTTACCCATGTCCAATTATCTGTAATTCTTTTCTGGGTGGTAAATTGACACACTCATGGTCCCTTTTGTCATCTTTGGTGGTCAGTTTTTACAGTGAAATATTCATTTGGATGTTTGTTTTCATCATTGCCATTTTTATCCACGAGGTTATCAACTAGGTCAGTAACTCTTCCAAACAAACCCTGGAGAAACGTGGGAAGGAACCTGCATTCTGACAGGAGGGTGCACAGTCTAATGCAGTGGAAGGAATAGCCCTTTGAATACCACTTGGGTTAAGGCTGCCAAGCTACAGGCACAGCTGATGCTCCATGGTTACTTTGACATGCACCCCACAAGGCTCTGCCCCAAGACAGGTTTCACTGTGCACTGTTCTTTTGTGAAAGAGACTCGTTTCTTAGCTTTAGAAAAGCCCTTTTTTCTAGATATTTCCTCTCAAGCAAATATTAAGGGTGAGTAAAATCACACCTTTGGAAGTGCCAGTTCCTATGTGAAGGAAGACAGGAAGAATAACCCCATCCATAGACTGCAACGCCACCTCCAGTGACCGGTGAACATTTCCCCAGAGTCCACTGAGCCCCAATTTCATGAAACCATAGGCTTTTCTAATTGTATCTAAATCCAGACATTTTCGCTAATGGTAGGAACCATTCATTTATTTAACAAGCTTTCATTGAGAAGCTACTGGGTGCCCACCATGTGCCAGGTGCTGGGGATTTAGAAGTGATCTGGACAACCCACCTGCTCTTATGAGCTTACATTTTCGTGCAATAAGTACATGACGTTCTAGATAGAAAATGTTAACAGTAAACAATAAAGAAGACATTTACATATTATAGTAAATGCTCTGACGAAAATAAATGGGATGCTGAGTCAGAAATGAACCTGGGGATTCTGCTTTGAAGGGGGTGGTTGGGAAATTTCCCTCTGAAGAGGTAATATTTCAACTGAGAAGTCAAAGATGAGAATAAGCCAGACTTGCTAGAAGCAGGGAAGAGCATTCCGGTCAGACAAGTTCAAAAGCTCTGAGGTAGACAGGTCATGGGTGTTCAAGATGATAACAAAAGCCATGTGCTGGGAGGAGAATGGGCAGCAGGGAGAGATGTACAAGATGAGGCTGAAGAAGGAGCGAGGGGTAGGTCTTACAGGGGGCGGTGTTCAGGTGTTACCTTAGGATGTTGGTTGTGAAGCCAATGACGGTTCTCAAGAGGAGAAGAGACATGACATGATTTACGTAGAGGCTGTGGGGGAATGAATTACAAAGCCACAAAAGAAAAAATCGGGGGACCAGGAAATTGCAGTGATTTGGGGAAAAGATGATGATGACTTGGACTAGAGAAAAGGTGGGGTGTATAGAGATAGAGAGGGAGGGGGTGGGGTCGGGGAGATGTTTAGGAGACAGAATTAGCAGGAACTGGTGATGGATAGGACATGAGAAGTAAACAGTGGATGCCAGGTTTGGGATTTGAGCAACCAGGTGGGTTGGTGGTGCCATTTATTGAGAAAGGGAAGATGAGAGACTAAACAGCTTGGGATCAATCAAGACCCATATCGTTTTTAGACATATTCACTTGGAGAGGCAAATGACACATGTGAACGAAGACATCAAGGAGGCGATTGTTTATCCACGTCTAGAATATGGTAGAGAAATGTATGATTTACGAATTTAAAATATTTAGAAGTATTTAAACCCCTGGCATTAACGTCTCCTAGAGAAACAGAATATGAACGATGAAGAGAAACGTAATCAGGACCAAGTCCTTCACAGCAGTCTACAATTTACCATTCAAGTTCAGGAAGAAGAGGAACCAGCAAAGAAGACCACGGGGTTTTCAGTGGAAAGGAAAGGAAACCAAGAGAAAGGATTGCCCTGGAAACCAACAACTGGGACCAGACCCCAGGGGTCCCATCCTCCCACACCCATGCAGACCTTCCAGCTGAAAACATATCTACATCAAATTAGGAGCACATGGTGGGAATAGAATGGTACCAATAGGGAGGAACCACCTAAAAATGGACGTATGTGCCAAGATGAGCAGATAAAATGTGGCAGATAATTTGACAACCATTTACATTTTTATCTTTGCCTTAACATGTACTTACCCCAGGTATATAAATGACCTCTATATATAAAGGTATATAAATATATATATATAATATATATATATATATAGAGAGAGAGAGAGAGGTATATAAAAAACCTCTATTTCACAGGTTTCTTTGATTACATTTTCTACTTTGCTCTGTGTGTGCGTGTGTGTGCTTATCATCACCCCAGGAATAAGATCCTTGAAGTTTTCCTTTGGGGAGACTTAGCCTTGTTTCTCTGAGTAATCTCTGCGAATGGTCCTTCTCACTGCCCTGTCTCTCACAGACACCTGTGGAAGGAAGGAATGGTAAGTGGTCAGCTTCCTCAGTTCCTACCTGTGCACAAGTAT